TCAGAACAGACCCAGTATCCACCACGGAGTTAGTTTGGATCTGGCAGTTGCAGAGCAGAACCCAGGCGCAAGATATCTCAATCAGAAGGGCATTCCATTTTCTTGGAAATATCATTGATTGTAGATGATTGTAATTGAGTGATGAGCAAGAGCTTCACTTCTAGGTCGTTTTGTCGATGGTCCCGTTGTGGCTGGAAACAACGGGACCATAGTTACAGAAAACAAAGCCAGAGCTGTATGATGTTTGTACAATATATTCATAATACGTTCAGGGCTCAGTGGCCTTCAAATTGTTAGATGGAGAAGGGTTGTATCTTCTTTTGCACACCTTAAACAGCAGTAATTTATGCACACCTTCACTTATGCCTCGACTCCAGCCGAGTTGATTCTCTTCCAGCACCGTGGCTCCCAGCCACGTTGTCCCACGCCTCGACTCTAGCCGAGCCATTCCACTTAGTCAAGCACGGCCCCAGTAGAAAAAATATAAAATTAAATAAAATTAAAAAAAAAGGAATATCTGCGGCAAGGAGAAAAAGACAACAACGATAAACTCTTCGCAGGCAAGCAAAGGAGACGACTAGGGGATGGGATACAGTTCCCTTTGGTTCTCTCTATTGTTCTTTGGGTTTATTTAAAGAAAACTAATGAAAAGGGTTTGAAAATTTTGAGTTTTAATGATAAGGACAAAATAAAGGGTAAAGTGAATATTATCATGATTCACTTTTTAGTGTAAAAATGTGGTTTTTTAGTTAAAGTGAACAGTACTGTGGGCTTTTCGTTAAAACTCCCAGTTATTTAATCCTCTAAATAGTCTTAAATAAGTTCTAGAGGCATTTATTTCTATTTTCCAAAAACTTTAACTTCAAGTCTAAGCCCAGAATTTATAGCAAATTAGGAAATATTTCCCTGCTCGCCTACTCAACTTCGGATTTATACACTTCATACCCTTTCTTGCATGCATCACATCAGGTGTAGGGGCATTTGTGGAACAAAAAATAATCTGGAAAAACCTGGATCTAACATGTGGCCTTTTACCAACGAAAGATGAGAATGCCCTTATTTAATTGGCGAGGCCCACAGTTAATTCACACACAGTTCAACATCTCTTGAGGCCTGAACAGTTGGGTACAATCTCATCAAGCCTTCGTGCCCATGACAAGGAGAAAAGTCAAAGGTATTAAAAATATAATTAATTACTAAACCCTATCTTTATACTCTCTTACTTGAAGGTCAACTCTATTAAGTAAGGAATTACAATCAAATTTAATCTTGAATTCCACAAGATATTATTTATTAAATTATATCATGTTGTTGTCAACAGTGGAAATTTTTTCCAACTTGAATTTTCCGTTCTTGTTGAAAAATAAAATAAAACAAAGGGTGGTCATGAAGCACTAGCTCTTGTGTTGGGTACACCTGCTGTCCATTTGGACCTTGCTGGGTTCAATTGATCACCATCACCCCTGGCCCAGCAACAAAAAGAGCCATTGTATTCTAAATCGGAGGCAGCATGAAAATCTCTAGCAATAAGAGCAGACATTTTGCCAAAGTTCAAAATTTAACCCCGCTACCACCACCAAACTCGAGACTGGTCAAATTGTTCTTGATCTGTCCCAATTAGAAAGAAGAAAAAAAAAACATATTGTACTATTTCGGCCACAAATAAAAACAAGGCATGCTATGGGGCCAATTAATTTTTATTCACACAAAATCACACGATTCCAGTTCACCAACTTCTAAGTCCAATTAGGATTATATCCCAATGTCGACGATCAACCCACTTCACTCCACACCCATCCGAGGGCTCGGAGTCAACTTTCCCCGAAATGCGGTTGTCACACAGACGATCCGACTTAGAAATATCTCACTTTCTTGAATGCCGATAAGCGCATCATCTAACATGCTGATGTTACATAGCAATCGTGAGAAACAGAACAAGACACAGCCGAAGGCCACCAATAAAAAATTGCATTCATTGTCTACGCCAAACGATCAATTTACCATGCTCCAGCTCAGTGATAAGATCAATGTTGTTCATTCTCCACTACCTATAAATAGAGCTAGAGGCCTTCAAGCTCAAGACTTTCGTTAAAATTAATCTCTACAATTATACAAACTTCAAGTGATCCTTCAATTAACCCAACTGATTTTCAGTCAGCAAAACCCAAATTGCTCTTTAGTAAAACCCTTTAGCTTTTCAGCTACAATCCTAAAGCCTTCCTTCAAAACAAACATTGTTTACAATTCCTAAGATCTAAATTTTTTATGGTTCTGTCACTTTGTGGTATGAATTGGTTGACGTGCAATTCCAACCACCCTAATCACCTCTATGAGGCAATGTTTCCTATTTAGTCCAGTTTGATACCAGCGATCTTGGTAGACTCCTCTAGCATTATCTTTATATTTTCAAATCTATCATAAAATGATTACATCCAGTTTCTTTTCTTTATTGTCATTTGTACTTTCAGTTTCAGTTATCACTTAGGCATACATTTATTTCGCATTGGATGTCAAGTCCTCATTCCCTCGAGGCATAAAAAAGAGTTTAACCGAACCAACATCCCACTCGGTGCACAATCATTTGGTTAAGAAGTCAAGTCTACGCCCAAATACAACACAACTCTACACACACTATTGGTTGTTGGTAGCCTCCAATCAAGGTCTAAAAGACGTTAGGCGCTAGTCGGGCTAGCGCCTAGGCAGACTAGGCGGACTTAAGTAAATATATTATACTTCGTATAAATAATTGTATGCTTATACTTAAAATATATATAATTTCATGATAAATTGCAAAAAAAGAATGACATATACTATGAAGTATAGGAACATAATGAAAACATGGGGAATAAGGATATATGTGCGTTCATTTAAGTATGCAACAAGTCTCTTACAATTTAAAAAAAAAAATACAAAATGAAAGTTATATTTTTTCTGTTTAAGTGAGTCACGACCTAGGCAGGTGTCTAGGTGGGTTTGGACGGGTGCTTAAGTGATCTAGACGCCATTTCTTAATTTTTAAACGCCTAGTCAGGCTCCGCCTGCGTTTTGACACCAACATATTCATTTGGTATCCATTGATTAGTCCATATGTTATATAACATGAGTTGACAGTAAATTTATATTTTATATGTATAATAATACATATCTATAAGTGATCTAATTATGCAACCAAAAAAAAAAAAATTAGTGTTTTTTGTATCATACAATATTGTTGGATTGTAAAACATTTTAAGAACCAAAAATAAAAGTTGATCTCATCGTACAGTCCTCGTGTAGAATGTAAAAGTAAAAAAAGGTTTGATACACAATAATAATATTCATACATTGGAAATGTCAGAATGGAAAGTCTTCATTAGCATGACGTGTACTCATATTCAAGTGCGCATCATACGGTCCCAGATCCTACCTACTAAACACGGGATTAAACAATAGTGGAAATACTTTAAGTCTAAATTTATCTTCTTTGAAATTTAAAGCAAGATCAAATATATGTGCCTAGAAAATGCCTCTTCAGAACCAAGTTGGAAATCAGGAATGCTAATTACGAATTCACAATCAAATTTTTAACAAACTTTTACATTGGTAACACATTGCGTCATGCTCTGATAACAATCATGTGAATTTTGATTTTTTCATATTTCTTATCAACCCAACATAATGTACCAAATGTATAAATGCGTAGTTTTTTCTAAACATTCTTGTTTCACGTAAACTAAATTTTAATATAATTAGCAGTTACAAAAGACTTTGTGCTTTCTTGCATGCCCAAGCTGGAAGGATAATTAATTATCTATGTGATAAAGGCAGCCGGTTTAACCGATGGGGATCTCTCCTAATCTGTCTTGGCCCCTAAGGCTTCTCATCAGTCTTCGCGGTTCAGGTGTAGGTGAGCCCTTACAGTCTACTCCTCAAAACAATACTTCCACCCCAAGCACCACTCTTGATAGACAAATAATAATTATAAATACTATTTTAGACCTTTCAACCAATTTTCACCTATCCAAATCATATCTAGTACAAGCAAAATTAATGTTAGAATTATTATATATAATCACTGTTTCTGCAAAGCAATAATTTAGTAACTCTCTTCCTATATACACTATACTGTAGATCTTCACATGTACACCAAGAAGTGAGCAGTTGGCCAATATAATATAGCATAAATATACCAAATTTGTAATTGTATACATTAAGGAAAGAGAACTGAGATTGGTTAGCTGAAGCAGCCAATATACCAACTTAAGACAATAGCTGCCTTACCAAAACATGTCCATTATAAACTTTTCCAAACTTTTTATATTTTTTATTGAAGGGGAATTTGTTATTGCAGACATGATGATAGATAAGTTGGCTAAAGCGGTGGATTAGTATTTTGGACTACTAATAATAGCTGCGTTTAAACATGAAAATTGTAGACCATAGGTAAGAACAATATGATACATTAGTAATGATTTTCAGGCTCGTATTTCACGCGGCACGTTATGGATTTGATTCCTAGCGTTGGTGAATAGCACGATGGTGGCCAAAAAGAGGCTGAAATGCCTATGTGAGTCTTCCTGGCCCCTGAAAGGGTGGACTGTCCTAGCAAAACTGCCAGCTAGTCCCCTCTTTTAAAAGAAAAAATAAGTAATGATTTTCTTGTACATGACAACATGGGTGTGGCTACAATAACCCATGGCTTAAAGTGCATCGAGATATTAATGGGATATTTGAAGGTGATGAAAGTTCATATGTTTTTTTAAATCTCACCCATTCATTTCACATTATCAGTAACTGCAACGTGGTATTGTAGTTTTTCCGACAATTTATTCACCGCAAAGATTTAGATGGTGTGATCAAGTAGGATTTTGAGTAAAGGTGGAAAAAAAGATCAGAGGTTATTGTGTGGTAAGTCTTCATTCAACAAAAGTAAAATCTACTCTTATCTTTTATGATTATAAAGTAAGCAGGCATTATGGTCACTTGAGGTCATTGTAATAAAATTATGTTGTAAAGTAAGTTGAGGGGTTTCCATACCTTTAAAGCCAGCTTTGCTTTAACCAACCACAACAGGAGAGAAAGATAGCCATCATTTGAAGTAAAAAGAGAAAAAAAGAGAAGTAAGGGTGTTGTTGCAGAGGAACCAATGGCGACGCCGAAACAGATGTGGGAGCAGCAGCAATTGCAGGTGCAGCGAGTGAAGAACTCCGGTATCATCAGTTACAATGGGAGTCCAGTAGCTGATGATAAGGAAGAAGAAATGTCAAGGTCTGCATTGGCTTTGTTCCGGGCAAAGGAGGAAGAGATTGAGAGGAAGAAGTCGGAGGTGAAAGACAAGGTTCAGGCTCAGTTGGGACGCGTTGAAGAAGCAACTAAACGTTTGTCTGAGATTCAGGATGTAAGTGATGATTTACAATTTCCACTGAGTCATATGCTATGTTTTTCCTCATTAAAATCTGACATTTATACCTAGTTGCATTGTTGGTCGCACACAATGTTCTAATGCAGCATGAAAAAAGAACAATATATTAACCCAGAATATATTGAGAAGCAGCACAAGACAAGAATAAACTAAATTTAAAAGTTTTTTTTTTTTTTTTCTCAGAATGATCCATTTAATGACTGAATTGATAACTTTAAAATTGTACAATAAGCTCAATTCAAATGGTTTAACCTGTGAATTACAAGTTCTATTTTCCACTTTCAAACGACGAACATAGGATTCGAGAATAATGTTATGATCTTTCTCTTATCCCACAATGATGATTTATGATTGGCAAAAATTATCTCAATTTATTAGTTTGTTCATCTAAAACTAGTTGATTATGACATTTAGAGGATGCTTCAAAACTATGATATCTTATAGGAGCTTGAAGCGCTACCAGATCCAATGAGAAAGGAACTTGCAATTATTCGCAAGAGGATAGACGTTGTTCACAAAGAGTTAAAGCCGCTAGGCCAGAGCTGCCAAAGGAAGGTAAAACCTTTGTGACCATATAATCCTTTCTTCTAGCTGCTTATGCTGTTCTATGGAAAATACTAATGTTAAAAGAAGAACATGGAGATAATGTGGTTACGTTTTACAGTTTTGCTCGTTGTATGACACAACTTCGTTTTGGTATGGCAGTCCATAAAAACATTCAATCATTTTGATCTATAGTTATTTAGTTATGCCAAGTACTTTCAAAGCTCCATGGATATTCTTATTTATTATCGTCATTCATTAGCAATTATTATGCTTAAGTATTACGTTGAACGTGACAGAAGAGATTACTTATTCAAGACTAAGTCATTTCATGTTTTTATATATTGATCAATGGACACAGGAGAAAGAATACAAGGAAGCTCTTGAGGCTTTAAACGAGAAAAGCAGAGAGAAATCTCAACTAGTTTCCAAATTGATGGAGGTGAGCATTCTTCATATATTAACTTATAATGACTGTTATCATACATTAGTTAACTGCTTCTCTGCATGCTTTATATCAGCTTGTGGGTGAAAGTGAGAGAACGAGGATGAAGAAGCTGGAGGAGCTGAACAAACATGTCGAAACTCTGCGTTAAGATGTGCTGATCATTAAGTGTATTAAGATGGACTGTGCATGTGTGCTGTAATTAGGATCTTTGTGCTTACATTCTGGTACAAATTGTGATTTGTGTCTCTTCGTTTCACCGGTTATGTTCAAGAATGGTTTTCTCTGTTATGGACAGATACACCCCCAAAAATGTTGCTTGCCAATGAATATGTAGCCTAAATTGTGCATAGGATTGTGAGTTATATATCCATCTGCTAATCAAATTGTGGATTGAAAAGGGAGGTTTTCCTCGTCTGATTATGCTAATTTGTCAGCCATTGTTCCTAATCTGATTTGTCATCAATAATCTTGGTCTCTTACTGAATATTGTTGGAAAAAATAGCTTTAGCTTTATTCCATTTATCCAGCATGACTGATATGATCGATTCATTTCTCTCTCCCTCTATTGTCTCCTTTTTTTTCGGTATAGGAGTGATATTGAGGGACATGGGAATCGAACACAGAATCTCAAGTGTCGGGGGAATGCTCTCAAGAAGTTGATACAAAGTACAAACCAATTGCACTCACTAACAACAATAAAGAAGGATAAATACACACCTAATTTGTTCCCGTGTTGATGTTGCCCGAGGAAATTCAGAATCATGTTTCGGATTACACACCTGCTCTTATGTCCTGTGATGTTTTTTCTGACTTAGTGTAGTGCGTACCTTGCCCAGTAGAGAGCGTAGGATCATAATTGTTTCTCATGCTTGATGCTTGCAATATGATCGTGATTCATAAAAGACGAGTAAAAGAATATCACAGCAAAACCTACACAAACGAAGCAATAGATGAAACCAAGCAGTGGCGTTCCCTGGTCAATTTCACACACGCCTGTTGGCAGAATTCTCCTTTACTCCCTACCCAACCTCACCCGCTTTCCTGCATTTTGTCGAACATGTTTGCCCTTATGACAGCCATGCTCAAGGAACATAATTTTAGGGCTAACTAGTAACCACATTTTGGTTTTGAAAATGGGTCATAATGTTCTAATTTTCTAATTTTCTCACATTGCACCAACCAGTTTTGAAATCAATATATACCTTTATGTTCGAATATCCAATTGTCCATTAAATTGATAAGTTTTTTTTCATGATGTGATGCAAAATGTGGCTTACACTTTTGTCCCCGTATAAGGGTCTCACACATCACCATGTCATCAACTTAATGAAGATCAAACAATCAATCACATTTAAAGTGTAAGCCACATACTTAATTTCTTAACTTTCTACACCAATTACTTAATTTTCTTTTATTGTCCGCCCATCTACAACTTCCGTTTCTCCCCCACCTACAATCTCACCTCCCTCTACAAAATAAAAAATAACGCAAATGAAATCAATAAAATCAAAGACACCCACAAATATGAGCCCAGATCGTAACCCCGCTTCATGTCCTTTAATTTCAGAAACATCTCAAGTCTTCAATCATTTCAATATCTGTGTGGACTAAAAAACCCTGAATTTTGATTACCATACAATTTCCAAAGCATCTCATGGCGCCGATGGTTTCGTGGATGGAAATTGATGAAAACATCGCATTCGTCTCAATGGTGCATCATGTAAATCAAAATTGTAGGTATAAAAGGTAGTGGCTTGGTAAATCAAAATTGTAGAGTGTGTATGTATATATATAGTACAAATATCTAGAGGTGTGTGCTGTAAAATAGATATTGGAGCAGCCATGATTCGAGTTGCTTTGGGCAAGACAATTTTTGGACCCCAATTGATGGGTACTGGAAAAAGAAGCTGCCGGAAGGTGCAGCGGCAGGAGACTGCAAGCGCGTTCGATAATTTTTTTTTTTTCTTCTGTACTTATCATTAAATAAAGTAATTAGATGACTTTTGGTTAAAATTCAAAGTTTTGAAACCCTTTTTCATTAGTTTTTATTTTATTTTTTTTAATTTTTTTATTTTTTTATACTTATCTAGAAAAAAAAATTAATAACTCATTTTTAGTATTTTGCCGAATTGCTCCTAAACTTGTACCCGAATATCAATTTGCCCTTAAAACTTTTATTTTTGCCAATTTTCCAGTCAACTATTCAACTATTATAAATAGTCAATTTCCGCTACTATCATGTTTGCAAACATTTCATCCAATTTTCCATACCACTAGAGCCCTCCTAACTTTTAACAAAAAGTTGAACCAACTGTGTCTAAATATGACGATAAGGGGACATTGGCTATTTATTCTAGTTTAGGGAAATGTTGGTCATTTATTATAGTTCAAAGGTGAAGTCGGTTAAAGTTTAAAACTTCAGGAGGTAAATCGGCAATAGTACAAATTCAAAGGGAAAATCGGCGGGATAGCCATATATTTTTCGGTTGATTCTTTTTCATCTTTTAGGCTTTTATGCACATCTCGTTTTATATATTTTGAAAATTAATGTCTTTTCTTATTTAAAATTTGCTTCTTTATTTTTTGTTCTTCTCTTGCTTGACCCGTAATTTTGGTTTCCTAACTCCACCAACAAAATACAAAGATTAATTAATTTCTAATGTATGTGACGACCCGTCCCGAATTAATATATATTTTATCCTCGAATGTGTGAAAATGATGATTATACCCTCAAGACGTGAATGTACGTATATGGTTTTAAATTATTTTCCCGTTGACGTAATTAAATCATATTCGATGTCATGAGAGTGTTGACGTGATTTAGGGCCGAGTTGGGTTCGTAACGAAAATGTTATGAATAAACGATGGTGTAATTGGGCTAAGGAAATGGACCAATCACCACACCTCCTACTTTCTTGGGTCCAATTAGAATTTTAGGTTTGTTTTGGGGTCAATTGTTAGCCTAAACATGCAACCCAATTAGGGCTTAAGATCCCTTTTATCTATGCCCAATCCGGACCACACGTGCGCACATATACATACCCTCACCCTTTCTCTCAATCTTTCCTTCGTCCGTACAGTCCTTAAACACACACACCCAACCATCTTCATCTTGCACAGATCGAACTAGTGGAGGTCACTTTCGAGTTCCTTGCAAGGTCAGGAACCTAATCATACCCTTAGATTTGTGAAAGAACCTCGGAAACCCGGGAACTTGCGAGCTCTGGCAAAGTGCTTTATTACTCCATCGTGATCGTGGACGTTTCACAGAGTTTCAAGGCTTAAAGGAGTCTTAAAAAAACTTCACATAAATCATAGAGAAGTTTTGGAAGATTTTGGACGTCGAGATAGGTCAGTTCCTTGAGTTGCAGTTTTGACCGGAATATCGAAGGATTTTTCGACTATTTCCCGTCGGTTTTAGGACTTCAAAGTGGTAAGAACATATTCTACTCGTTTAGGGCTTCAAATCCATGTAAAGTTTGTGAAATTTGGTTGAGATTTGAGTGACATATTTAAATTTGAAATTTTTCCAGTTTCCGATGACGCAGCGACGATTGGCGCCGGAATCCGGCAAACCACCGGAAAAGGAAGGGGAATATTCTATTATTTAGCAGAATATTCCCTAACGGCATTTAAAATTTCGTCCATGTGCCAAGCACGTGCCTGCGCGTGGCTGGAACGTGGGATGTCGGAAAATTATTCTTAAAATATGGGGATGCTCGTGTTGTTGAGTAGGCCACGATGGTATATTCAAACACCCCAATTGAGCAACATATGAGAAGTTATTACACGGTTTTGGTTATGTACTTAAAATTAATGTTAAAATAGTGGTTTCACATGTAAGTGAGACGTTTTCGGAGGACGAGCACAATCAGGCGAGACTCTGGGGTTACGATCCAGCTACATACCAATGAGTGGGCTTTTGATTTTCTATATATACGTATATATGCTTTTTGTTTTCCCAGAAATTTCTTTTAAATGGAGTCATGATTTTAAATGCCATGTCAATTGCATTATGCTTTAGAGTATGCATTAGTATAGATATGCATATTGTTGCTTGATGCTGCGGACGCCCAGGTAAGCTTCAAGTGCGTACATATTGATGATAGTGGATGCATAGTTTGTGGTTATACGTAGATGCATTTAGAGCTCATTATCCTGCACCCCGGTGCTAGTGCTCCCGCCCATGGCCAGGGCACTGTCCTTCGCGTGATGTTCACCTCCCGCACCACACGCTCACCTTGGATCCAAGTTTGGTGCACAGCCCTGTCGTACATACCACATTAGGTGGTTCCGACTCGTAGGTGACCCGCAATTATTCGCACAGCCTTCATGTGATCGTAGCACTTGAGCGTACTTATTTGCACCCAGCCTTATCGTACAGACCACAATAGGTGGTTCCGACTCATATGCAGGCATATCTGATGAGCTATAGGTTTAGCCGTACAAGTCACGTTAGGTGACTCTGGTTGGCATATAATTTTACATTGATTTATTTCACCTGGCTACTTATTTCCATACTTGGATACGTGACATGGCTTATATTTGATTTTCACTACTTTCGAGCATGATTTTTATATACATATGTATTTTTATTTTCTGGGAAACCATACAGGTTTTACGGTGAAAGGTTATTACTTTTGGAAAGAGAAATGGTTTTGAAAAGCTTTGTTTTTGCCCACTCACATTTTCTGTTTTACGCCCCTCCAGGTTCTAGATAGAAGTGCGTGTTGGTGGCTCATGAGGATTCTACGGCGGTTCTGACAGATATCCATCAATGTAGGGTTTTCTTTCATAGCCTGTATAATTAGTATTTAGCCTGTTGGACTGCACCTTGGCACCTACACTCTGACTATATGTATCTACACTCTAACCCTTCTTCCCACACTTATTTACTTGTCTTGTGTGCATTAGTTAATTGGCTTTTTATTTCTCACATCTTCATATCACTATCACTTTCGCACTGCACACATGGCTACGTCACCATCACCTGACGGGCAGCATGTCTCGATTTAGGTCGGGGTGTGTCAGTTTGGTATCAGAGCCTAGGTTTGGCAGTCCTGCATATTTTATGAGTATTTTAATCCTTTTGATGTCTTATGTCAGAACCATGCCACCTCATAAAGAGCCACGTACCTCTTCCAAGTCTAATTTTTTCGGATATTACCCAACTTGGGGAGGCTATTGCTAATGTCATTCAGTCCTCACTTCGTCTTCCCCAGAGAACTCCCTTAGAGACTGTATATAACTTAAAGTTGAATAATTTTATGGGTAATGAGGGACCTGAAGGAGCCAAGCAATGGCTTAACCATGTCGAGAAAACCTATCGAGTGATGCAGCAATTGGAGAATTTCCCTGAGGATAGATGGGTCGAGACGACCACTTGGTTTTTAGGTAAGGAGGCTGCATCCTGGTGAAGGCAAGAATCTTTTCAGTTGTCGCCGAAA